TCAAACATTTACAAGAGTTTTTTAAGCTCAATAGATTCTTTCGCATTTAAGAAGCTCATTAGTCTGCATATTTCAGATGTTCCAGTCTTAAATAAAACAAAAAATCGCTTAATACCAACCATAAATGTGATTTTTCAGGATCTAAATCTTCCAGCGTGTTTTTCAATTAGTTCGTTGTATTCGTTCTTTTCTCGATATGAAAATGATGCAAAATTCTAGACATTTTGAGAATCTTCATATTTCTTGAAAAAATCGATCCTTGAAAAAATTTCGGTCAAAATTGAAAAATTTACAAGCGTGTTTTTTGAGCTCAATGGACTCTTTCCGGCTTAAGAAGCGCCTTAATGTGCATATTTCAGATGTTCGAGTCTTCCAGCGTGTTTTTTAATTAGTTCGTTGCATTCCTTGTTTCTTCGATATAAAAAAGATGCAAAATTCTAGAAATTTTGTGAATGTTGATATTTTTTCATCAAAATTCAAACATTTACAAGTTTTTTAAGCTCAATGGATTCTTTCGCACTTAAGAAACTCATTAGTCTGCATATTTCAGATGTTCCAGTCTTAAATAAGGAAAATATCGTCGGACAAAGATCGTAACCGCCGAAACATCGCTTAAAACCAACCATAAATGTGATTTTTCAGGATCTAAATCTTCCAGCGTGTTTTTCAATTAGTTCGGTGTATTCGTTCTTTCCTCGATATGAAAATGATGCAAAATTCTAGACATTTTGAGAATCTTCATATTTCTTGAAAAAATTTCGGTCAAAATTCAAAAATTTCCAGCGTGTTTTTTGAGCTCAATATATTCTTTCTGGCTTAAAAAGCTCCTTAATGTGCATATTTCAGATGTTCGAGTCCTTAAGTTCCTTAAGTACGGAAAATATAGTCGTTTAAACATCGCAACCAGTCGAAAATCGCTTAAAATGAATCAAAAATGTCGATTTTTCCGGATCTGAAGCTTCCAGCGTGTTTTCCAATTAGTTCGTTGCATTCCTTGATTCTTCGATATAAAAATGATGCAAAATTCTAGAAATTTTGAGAATGTTGATATTTTTTCATCAAAATTCAAACATTTATAAGAGTTTTTAAGCTCAATGGATTCTTTCGCACTTAAGAAGCTCATTAGTCTGCATATTTCAGATGTTCCAGTCTTAAATGCGGAAAATTTCGTCGGACAAAGATTTTAACCGCCGAAAAATACCTTAAAACCAACCATAAATGTGATTTTTCAGGATCTAAATCTTCCAGCGTGTTTTTCAATTAGTTGTATTCGTTCTTTCCTCGATATGAAAATGATGCAAAATTCGAGGCTTTAAACTTTTGGAAAAAGTCGATCCCCATCTTTAGAAAGTCGGTCAAAATTCAAAAATTTACATGCGAATTTTTTTATCTCAATGGATTCTTTCCTACTTAAAAAGCCCCTTAATGTGCATATTTCGTGTGCGAGTCAATAATACGAAAAATATCGTCGGTCAAAGATCGCAATCGCTCAAAATCACGTAAAATTAACCATAAGTGTGGATTTTTTAGAATCTGAAGATTCCAGCGTGTTTTTCAATGAGTTCGTTGCCATTCCTTGTTTCCTCGAGATGAAAATTATGCAAAATTTGAGACATTTTAAGAAACTGAATATTTTTTGAAAAAATCGGTCAAAATTGGGTGTTTTTGAGCTGCATAAATTCTTTCAGGCCCAAGATCGAGTCAATAATCAGACAGAAATCGTCGGTTAAAGATCGTGACCACTCAAAAATCGCTTAAATGAACCAAAATTGCATTCTTTGTTCCCTTGTGCAGTTTGAAACGTTTCCT